GTTCATATTATCAGGGCCGCCGAGAGCTTTTATGACGCCCGGGGCATAGCAGAAATTAGAAAAAAAAAAACACAAACTAAAAAATATGCATGCCTATAGGGCCCTATAGGCATACATATTTTTTAGTTTGTGTTTTTTTTTTTTTTTCTAATACTGTTAATTTACATCCATATTTTGAAGAACGGCATCTGGATAACACATATGCAACACATTCACTGATTAAAATTACTTAACACTGTTTTCTTGTTTTTTTACTAAAATCATTTAATCTTGCAACAGAGTTTTATCTCCGATAGATGTCAGAGTTTTATCTCCGATAGTGGCCCTATATTAATTTTTTTTTAACAATTTTTATTTACTTAAAGGTGGTTCATCTATTGCGGCATTGCGTTAAAAAACTCAAATTAGAATTCTTAAAGACTGAAAAATAGACTATAAACCCTTTCAGTATATTTAATCAAAGAGGTATAATAGACTGGAGGGAGAATAAAAAATACGTCATTTTTCAAGGAACAGTCTTAGTAGTAACATACTTTTTTATTGAACAATGCATAATTATTAATTTAGTTGTAACATGCCTTGAATGTGACAAAAAGACTATGAGTCGAACATTTAACGTCTTGAGAAAGCAAGGCTTGTCTATACTATTATTGTTACAATGTTCAAGTTGTTGTTGGTGTACAACCTTTCATTCAAGTAAAGAATGTAAATGCAAAAGCAGTCGTGGTACACCTGTTTGAGGTTTATGTTCGTTTTGTTATTGCTATGAGGGAAATTGGAAAAAGTTATACCAGTTTAGAAAAACTCTGTGGATGAAAAAAGTAATTGGAACAGTGCTTTTTCATTGCTCTTAAGCAAAAGATATTATAAGAATATAGAAGGCATCAAATGTGCCCACGTACTCCTGATAAATGGTGTAAATATCAGGCTGACAAAATAAATGGCATAGCACCATACAAACATAAGGAATTACCAATTGTTGTCTTTAAAGAATTAAAAGCCTGTTTTTTTTTAAGTATAAGTGAAGACAATTTATAAAAAAATATCTTTATGGCAAAACCCAAAATAACGAATAAATAAATGAGTCACTAAATGGAATTTTATGCAAAAAAGTTCTGTGTTTCAAATAACAACCAAAGAGTAATGTCAATGGAAAGGAAATCAAAAAAAAACATATTCATAGAGTTTATAAAAAGTTTCATAAATACTAATCAATCAGAAGAAATGTATGGTTATGGTTTATATTAGAGAGATTTTTTATTATTTTTTATTTATGGTGATCAATCATGAAAATCTTTTTTTATTTTTTGAATCTTTAAAAGAAATTTAGTGACATTTTAGTATATTATTACTTAAATTGCATTTATCTCAAAATTGAATTTTTTGAACGGTGCGTCATATAACTTTTGATTGATTTGAGCTTTACTCTTGAAATTTTATATGGTGGTTATTTTTTATAAGATACAGGTCTAGAACCAACATTTTTTGAAAAAATATTTTTCGGTCCAGAGTTACCCAAACCCAAAGTTTTATTTTTAAGCCTTTTTATAAGCAAAATATTTAAATTTTATTTAACTTAGATCTAGTTATGCAATCAGGCTAATTCTGCTCCCATACCTTTAAAATTGTACTATAAACAAACTGTAAAAATTTTGTTATCATTCTACAGATGGTTTTTTTCTGAATTTGACGCACCGCAAAGTGACCATTTTAAAATGGTCACTTTGCGGTGCGTCAAATTCAAAAGGTCTCAAATTTGAGACCTTTGGATCCTAAAAAGGGTTTTCTGTATTTTTTTTTATTTTTTTCTTTTTTCAAAAGGCATAGTTACCTGTATATAATTGTTGTACCAAAATATCAAATTTAAATGGTAAGAAATAAAGAATTTGGATTTTTCACCCGAGTACCACCTTAAATATATTTCTTTATGGTTTGTAGTTCATTTAAAATGAAAGTAAAACAATTATACCAAACAATTACTTTTGATCGATTATCACATACCCCACTGTGCACCGACCCTAACCAATATACTTTTACTTATTACGTCACTATTTTATATATTAATAATCTTTTTTTATTATCTAAAATATGATCATAATACAGAATGTACAATTAATTAGTGACCCCCCCCTCCCCGTGTTTTTTTTTAAATGACTGTTACTCATTTGTTAGTTATTATTTTTTCACAAAATGTTTAGAACAATGTTACTGATCAGTAGTGATTCCACTATTTTTACCAGAACATTCTAAAATTCTGGCGCGGAAACTTTCAATAAGTGAGTAGCATTCTTACTGGGTAATGGAAGTCTATTCATTTTGAACTCTTGTGATGAGTTGTAGGAGGTTTTGGGGTATTGAATTTTTAAAAACGCTGTTCTCAAGCCCTGCCCATGCTCAATGCAATTAAGGCCTACATGTTCAATGCAATTAAGGTCTGGTAAATTTCCTGGTCCAGACATTGTTTTACATCCTATTGATGACATCCATTGTTGCTTTCGCTGTACTTCGCTCAATCTTGCATTTAAACAACATACTGAGCTGAAATTTTTAGTTTCAGGTTTTTAAAAAAACCTTCCTCCAGATAATAACAACAAACAGTTAAAATGTTTAAAAATATTTTGAACAGAGTAACTTAAACATGGCAATGAAATATATGAGGGGGGGGGGGGGTTAGAAATTAATTGTAGATCAATACTTTTCTAAACTTAATTGCTAACTATTTAACACAATTTAAAATTTTTTTTAACTAAAATGTATAACTGAAAATTTATATACTGAAATTGGAACAGACGACAAAATTAAAATTATAAATAGAATTGAAAGTTATAACAAAAAACTTTTTAGCAAATATATCAAGTGTTTATTGTATTGTAAGAGCAAATTTACTACAACTTCTATATCTACCAGCTATACAGCAATCGCTACTTATTTGAGTTACAATTAATTATATAACAGCAACTTCTAATATTTGAAAATTACCAGAGTCGAGTTTTATTTAATTTTAGTTACAAAAAAGGGATGGGGATGGAGGTAAGGAAATTACAACTATTTAATTGTTGCTTTATATTCCTAGAAGAATTAAATTTGCAAATCAACGACTTTTTAAATTTGAAAAACAGAATCCCTCTTTTGAGTAAACTGGATAAAACATTGATGAAATGATTATTCAGAGATTCTTATATTGATGTTTTTTAAAAAATCAGTAGAAGACATAATGACTGCTTTTTCTAGATTACATATATTTAAGACACCATTCCAGCATGCATTACTAGTTAATAATTTTTTATTACCGGCAATAACTAAATGACGTTTAGCACGAGAAAGAGCAACATTTGTACGAAAAGGACAATCTATAAATCCAATATGTCGACTACGGACGCATGACAAAATAATAATTTCTTTCTCAGCTCCTTGGAAAGCGTCAACAGTAGACATTTGAATAGCTTTTAAGTTGCTGGAAGTAATACATGATTTACTCTCCCGTAAAAAACTAGCTATTTTAGCTACTTGGGATTTATATTGTGTAATCACACCAACTTGATTTGGTTCTATACCAGTTTCAAAAATTAATTCAAGCAAATTTACAACAAACTGTGCTTCGCAAACATTAGAGTAACTGTTCTCAAAATCGCACTGTTCCTGTCCATTCACATCAATAAAAGATAAAGTCGGAAGCCAATTTACAAGTTTTTGGCGATCGTTAGCTGTTACACCATCTAATAACATATTGTCATAAAACATTTTGTTGCATATTGAGCTTATCGATGGATGACATCGGTACTGTGTCCGCAAAACAAAAGGTTTTAGAAAAAGTCTTTGCATACGCTCAAACAAAGTCAACTCAAGACCCATATCGTGGTCTGATTCAGACCCTTGAATTGTCGGACTTAACTGTTTAGGATCCCCAACTAGTATTAACCTTTCACAATGAAAACGCGCAATAGGAAGCATGCAAAGGGGCTCCGTCATTTGAGTACATTCATCTAAAAGTTGAACTTTAAATTCAAGTTTCTGTAAATATGGAAAGACACATGCAGCACATGTGACACCAACTACATTAACATCAGTTAGCTTTTTTCTATTTACTCCAAGTTTGTGCTGTTCTATGGCTTTGCGAACATACCCTTAAGTAATAAAATTTTTATATATATAATATATAATATAATATAAAAATTTATATATATATATATATATATATATATATATATATATATATATATATATATATACAAAATATATATATATATATATATATATATATATATATATATATACAAAATATATATATATATATATATATATATATATATATATATATATATATATATATATATATATATATATATTTTGTAATCAAAACTTTTTGGTAACAAAATATAATTTAAAAAAATATGAATACTTAATTTTATTTTATTTTATCTCACCTTTGTCCTTATCGCTAAGCTCGGTTTTTAGAAGATCGTTTAACTCACGAAGTTCGTGATCTTCTTCCTCACTTGCATGTACAGTGTAGGGAAGTATACTTTTAGCAATTTTTTTTACGCTTCCAACACGAATAAAATTCTCAAAACCTAGATAAAAAAGCAGCAAGGTAAACACCTGAAAGTTTATTTATTGTTTTATATTTATAAGTTACTGAAATAAAATTATAAAAATGTTATAAAAAGAAAACCTAAATCTAATAATCCTTGAAGCACTCTGTCAACAGCTACATTGGTTGCTGATGATACTAACAACTTCATTTTCATTTTCCCATTAGTAAGTGATTCAATCATTGCAAACAAGTGAACAAGAAACACAACAACTGTCGACAACAAATAACTTTTACCTAGACAAATGAAATTTTATAATAATCGTTTAAAAAAACATTTAAAAAATAGAAAAAAGTCGAACTCAAAAAAAAAAAAAAATACCGATAAGTAGAGAAGTGGAAGTGAAAAATTAAAAATGGTAATAATCAACTCTCTGAGTAGTGGTCGCACTACTCAGAGAGTTGAGCTCTCTGAGTAGTGCACGAAAATAAGCAACAACAAAAAAAAAAAAAAAAAAAAAAAAAAAGGGCCTTTCTGAAGCAGTGGAGAGGAGAATTTAATAAAAAAAATTAGTTTAAATGGATTTAAAAAAGGAAGATAAAAATGGAAAATAAGATTCATTTGACGGAATAAGATTTTGGTAAATAATAAAGAAAAACTATGAAACGCTTTTTTACCTGATCCAAAAACTCCATGAATAAGTGTCACACGATCATCTTTTAAAAACATATCTGCTATTCCTTCTAAAGCATTAGCTTGATCTTGATTTAATTTGTAATCGCAAACAGTTTTATTCAATAATTCGCGAACTTCTAATGTCGGAAGATCAAACTTATATAAATCATATAAAGTACACTTTTTTGACAAAAATGGACTCTCTAATAAATATTTTAGAACAGGTACATCAATGCTATTCAAAAAATCATCAATATTTGAGCAGCAAGCAAGCTCGCTAGATGCATTGTAGGCTTGTATAGCATAGCAGATTTCTTCATTAGACCAATTACCACGTGAATATCCTGACATTGGACAAATTTCCAGTTCACCTGCAGAATTTGGGCCGTAAAATACACTCTTTGAAATAAAAGTTCCATCACGCTTAAAATCTAATGTTTTAGAAATAATCCATAAATCTCCCATGTTATATCGTGAAGCTGCTTTCTTTATTGGTAAAAGAAGATATAATGATACTTTAGATGAATGAAACTGGATTTTTCGCAGAAATTTTACTCCAAAATATAACTCAACTCCTCTTGAACTAAAGTATGCAACTGCACTCATGTAATCATTTATAGGTGTTTTGGTTTCAACAGACAATTGTTTACAATTGCTAACTTGTTCCAACCAAACAAAAAAATTACATTTTAATTGAGATGGTAATGAACATGAAAAAAACATTCTGCCATGATTTTTTCCATCTTTTTTTACTGTTCGCATAACAGCTGGTCCATGTTTACAACTGGGAACTTTGGTATCAAACTTTTTTAAACAAAATTCTTTAGTAATGGCTGAAACATCTACACAGGCTAAGGCTTCAAAATATTTTTTAGCAATGTTGAATAACACAATATTTAAATGCTCCATAAGTGCAGCCTTAAATGTTTGCTTGTAATTTGTAACTGAGTTAAAACATGTTGGAATAATAATTTGCCGTTTTGTTACTATTTTATTTTTTATGTCATCCATTGATGGAAAGAAAAGGGTCGAATTTAAAGTAGAGAAGGGAACCGAAAATGAATTTACTTGACTCACACCTCTTAAATCTTTAAATCTTCTATTCACACTATTTGACAAACCAAAAACTTGTGGTTTATGCTTATTTTCTGATTCATTACCAAGTGATATTTGATTATTTAAAGATTCACTTGTTGAAGGTAAACCATCAAATCTTGCTACAGAAGAAAGATCAACTGCAGTATGTTCAGACACTATTGATTTGTTAAAAAAAATATCCTTTTTAAGTACATCATTGATACTGCCATTACAGCTTTCAACTCTAGTTTTTTTATTTGCATAAAAACTTGCAGTTTCGAATTGCTGCAAATTTTCATTTTCACAAGATGTAACTGAAGATATAGTTTTATTGTCGTTATTAAATAATGCAATTATGTCACACACACTTCTTTTTCTTTCGGTCAAAGTTGTTTTTTCTTTAATTTCATTACTAAATTGTTTTACAAGCAAAATATTATCCATTATAAATTTATAAATCAGATCTTTATAACTCAGTCTTACATATAAGCATAAAAATAAGACAATTTATATATTTATAACTCAGTCTTACATATAAGCATAAAAAAATAAGACAATTTATATATTTATAACTCAGTCTTACATATAAGCATAAAAAAATAAGACAATTTATATATTTATAACTCAGTCTTACATATAAGCATAAAAAAATAAGAAAATTTATATATTTATAACTCAGTCTTTCATATAAGCATAAAAATAAGACAATTTATATATTTATAACTCAGTCTTACATATAAGCATAAAAATAAGACAATTTATATATTTATAACTCAGTCTTACATATAAGCATAAAAAAATAAGACAATTTATATATTTATAACTCAGTCTTAAATATAAGCATAAAAATAAGACAATTTATATATTTAAACTCAGTCTTACATATAAGCATAAAAATAAGACAATTTATATATTTATAACTCAGTCTTACATATAAGCATAAAAATAAGACAATTTATATATTTATAACTCAGTCTTACATATAAGCATAAAAATAAGACAATTTATATATTTATAACTCAGTCTTACATATAAGCATAAAAAAATAAGACAATTTATATATTTATAACTCAGTCTTACATATAAGCATAAAAATAAGACAATTTATATATTTATAACTCAGTCTTACATATAAGCATAAAAAAATAAGACAATTTATATATTTATAACTCAGTCTTACATATAAGCATAAAAATAAGACAATTTATATATTTATAACTCAGTCTTACATATAAGCATAAAAAAATAAGAAAATTTATATATTTATAACTCAGTCTTTCATATAAGCATAAAAATAAGACAATTTATATATTTATAACTCAGTCTTACATATAAGCATAAAAATAAGACAATTTATATATTTATAACTCAGTCTTACATATAAGCATAAAAATAAGACAATTTATATATTTATAACTCAGTCTTACATATAAGCATAAAAATAAGACAATTTATATATTTATAACTCAGTCTTACATATAAGCATAAAAATAAGACAATTTATATATTTATAACTCAGTCTTACATATAAGCATAAAAAAATAAGACAATTTATATATTTATAACTCAGTCTTACATATAAGCATAAAAAAATAAGACAATTTATATATTTATAACTCAGTCTTACATATAAGCATAAAAATAAGACAATTTATATATTTATAACTCAGTCTTACATATAAGCATAAAAATAAGACAATTTATATATTTATAACTCAGTCTTACATATAAGCATAAAAAAATAAGACAATTTATATATTTATAACTCAGTGTTACATATAAGCATAAAAATAAGACAATTTATATATTTATAACTCAGTCTTACATATAAGCATAAAAAAATAAGACAATTTATATATTTATAACTCAGTCTTACATATAAGCATAAAAAAATAAGACAATTTATATATTTATAACTCAGTCTTACATATAAGCATAAAAATAAGACAATTTATATATTTATAACTCAGTCTTACATATAAGCATAAAAATAAGACAATTTATATATTTATAACTCAGTCTTACATATAAGCATAAAAATAAGACAATTTATATATTTATAACTCAGTCTTACATATAAGCATAAAAAAATAAGACAATTTATATATTTATAACTCAGTCTTACATATAAGCATAAAAAAATAAGACAATTTATATATTTATAACTCAGTCTTACATATAAGCATAAAAAAATAAGACAATTTATATATTTATAACTCAGTCTTACATATAAGCATAAAAAAATAAGACAATTTATATATTTATAACTCAGTCTTACATATAAGCATAAAAATAAGACAATTTATATATTTATAACTCAGTCTTACATATAAGCATAAAAATAAGACAATTTATATATTTATAACTCAGTCTTACATATAAGCATAAAAATAAGACAATTTATATATTTATAACTCAGTCTTACATATAAGCATAAAAATAAGACAATTTATATATTTATAACTCAGTCTTACATATAAGCATAAAAATAAGACAATTTATATATTTATAACTCAGTCTTACATATAAGCATAAAAATAAGACAATTTATATATTTATAACTCAGTCTTACATATAAGCATAAAAAAATAAGACAATTTATATATTTATAACTCAGTCTTACATATAAGCATAAAAAAATAAGACAATTTATATATTTATAACTCAGTCTTACATATAAGCATAAAAAAATAAGACAATTTATATATTTATAACTCAGTCTTACATATAAGCATAAAAATAAGACAATTTATATATTTATAACTCAGTCTTACATATAAGCATAAAAAAATAAGACAATTTATATATTTATAACTCAGTCTTACATATAAGCATAAAAAAATAAGACAATTTATATATTTATAACTCAGTCTTACATATAAGCATAAAAAAATAAGAAAATTTATATATTTAGCAAATGACATTCTACCTTTTACTTTCTGGCAAAATATTAACTTTTTGTAAAGAATGACTTTGGTCTTTTTTTCCAATATTTTTTTGAACACACACAAATTTTTTTGCAACATCTATGGAAAGTTTCTAATATATCAAAATGAAAAGAGAAAAAAAAAAATTCTTGCAAAAATTGTTTGTTTTAATTTAATAAAATGCAGTTTGAGTAAAACTCTACAGTTGAAATCTTACATTATTATTTCTTTTTCTTGTCAATTCTTGACTTGGTTTTAACTCTGATTCTTCATCATTTGATTCTATTGTAATCAAAAACTTTTCAGTCTCAAGTTCTTTACCTTTACACAGCTAAAAATATTAACTAAAAATTAATTATGCTTAATTATGCAAAACAAAACAAAAATTAATTGTTACAAGTTACAGAACTTTTTTTAAAAAAAAACAAACTGTAATGCAAAAAGTTTGAAACAAAAACCTTCATAAGCCAGTGTTATCTTGATAAACCTGTATAATTTTGATTCAATATTGATAAAACATTGAGAAACAAGATTTATTTATATTTCTTAAAAAAAAAAATTTTTATAAATTAAAGTTTTTGATAAAAAAATATTTTTATTTTTAATCTTTAAACATAATTATAAATTGAATCAGTAAGCCACTGTAATCAGTTACTTTATTTTAATCAGTTTGTCACCTTAATTTTAACAGAATTAGTAACAAAAGTTAAAGATTATTATAAAAGAGATAATGTTAAAAATAAAATAAACATTTATTTTGCTTTCTCTCATATCCCTAATTTTTTCATACAAAGTTTATTTTCATAGTTTTTTTCAAAAACTTAATTCACATTCAATTCACCCAAAACCACATATAAATGCACAAAGAATTTATTAAATTTTAAATTTTAGTTGAAATTTAAAATCATAAAAAATACCTGTTCTGCACTCAAAAAAGCTGAATCAATACACAATCCAGAACTATCAAGAAGAACAGCCTGACAATATAAAACAATAAAACAATCAATCAAACTTTTAAAACAAATTTTCATATAAAACTTTGTTCAATCTTAATAATTTTAAAAAAAAATTTTTGATCCACCATGTTTATTATTATTATATATTTGATTTTTTTTTTTTAATAGTTATTGATATTCTAATTTAATTCAATACACCCAAACCCACTTTTTTGTTTAAATTTGATAGATGTTATATGATTACCAAAATAAAAAAAATAAAAAAATGACTAATAAAAAAATAATACTAACTATATAACAACTTATAAAACAAGCAAGATATGTCCGATGTTTTTGAGCACACTATAATATTTTTAACATTTAGGCTTTGCCTAAATGTATAAAATATTAACTAAAATTTAATCTTTCAATAACTCTCTTATCATTCTTCCTTGCGTTAACCATAAGTAATAAACTCATGATGAATTGCAGAATGAAATTCTTGACATTATGTCAAATCATATGATTTTATTTGCTAAAAGACCTTAAAAATGACACAACTGATGCTTTTATTGAAGATGTTTTAGCATGGCCATAAAATAAATCAGAGATTATCCAGGTCATATTTTAAAAAACCAGGAAATTTTTTCCTAAAAATATCCAAAAAATATTTTTAAGAAATATCCAAAAATATAAATGCATTTTGTGTAACTAAGAATATCTCATGTGTTTAAAAAGAAATTCATTTGTATGTGCGTGCAAGTAATGTGCACATAATATGAACATTATTTGCACGCAAAAAATGTTTAAATACTTAAATTTTTTTAATAAGTAAAATAGAGGTATAGTGCTATGGATGTTACAATGATAATATTGTGGCGCAGCTGAAAAGGTTACAAGTTCGAATCCCACCATAGGCAAGGGCTATTCTAGATCGTTTTCGACAGCATCGACCGTATTTGAGCGCCGCTCAAATTAAAATTTGAGGACCTTTTAAAATTCTTTATATTCAAAATATTCTTTTATAAAAAAAAAAAAAAAAAAAAGAATTTCAATACTTTATATATTTTATTTTTATAATTTAATTTATATAAAGAAGTTATTAAATTACATAGATTTTTAGGTGAAATAGTTAAAATAATAATTAATAGACATGTATAAATAAGAAAAATTAACTGTACACACGTACAAATAATGCCTAACCTAACTAAATATAGCACAGAGTAATTGGAGAAGTAAACATTTACTGTTTTAATTATTGGATGACGAAGTTATAAAACAAAATTCTACCAAATTAAATTCTCAAACGCGCAAAATGTTATTAGACTACAAAAGTTTGATGTTAATTCTAGAATGTTTTGAAACTTATAACTGTTAACAACATTATTTGCATCTACACTAACTGTATTTTATACATAGAAATTATTTTTATATAATTTATATATTTATTTATAGAAAACATAGTAATCATAAAAAATGTTATTCGCAATAAAAATATTTACTTTATTTCATTATTGAAGTATAGAAAAATTATACCAACTTTAGTTGCCTGATGTTGTATTGTAAAATTAACTGCAAAAAAATTATTTTAAATTGTGCCTTCTTAAAAATTACCTTCTTAAAATGTACCTTCTTAAAATTTTTACCTTCTTGTTTTCCAGAATAACTGTTAAAAAACCATCCTAAAACAAAAAAAACTTTAAAAACAGTATCAAATAAGATTTTGTGATTTGATTTATATCAATAACAGTACAATTATTATTAATATTATTATTAAAATTATTAATATTACTACTATTTATTCATATTCATATTAATTTTATTATATTACTACTATTGCAATTATTGATACAGTCCGCGCTAACACTACAGCCAGTGTTTAAAACCACTTGTAGTATTGTAGTATGTGAAGTTTGTCATGCTTGGTTAATTTCAAAGTATTTTGGTTGAACTTTATTTTCAAATATGTCTCAGGATTCTTCAAAACCTTCTTGATCACCTTCTGACTTCGCTGTATATGTTTTGATATCTCAGATGTTGTTACATTGGCAGTCTTGAATGCCTTGATCATAGCGCCTTCTTCAGCATTAAACTTAGTTTCACATGGTCTACCAAAATAATATATGTATCACTCAACTAACGTTAGCAAATCATCTGTTGCAGCAAATGTTAAATGACTGACGTAAGCTATTCGTTTGTCACTAGAAAATATCATATGGTCTACCATATTTTGACGCGGAAAACATTTAACACCAAAAATGATGTATTTATTACTTATTTTACTTACAAAAATGATGTATTTATTACTTATGATTATGACTATTTTTAGATATTTTAATGTTTAAAACAGTATAAAATGAATAAAAAATATTATATTTATAGTGTTTAACTATATTATATCTTGTTAACTGCTCAACATTTTAAGCTAAAATTTTGTATACAAAATTTTTTAATATATAGAAACCATACGTCAAAAGATAAAAGAAATAAGAAGACACATGGTTCAATGAACTGCGAGATTAGATGTGAAATTATCCTTCATTTAAACTTTAGTAACACAATCAAAATGATCAAACAATATTCGAAAAATACTAATTTTCAAACTAAAAAAAAATGAAGTACCTCATTTATAATCTCAGGATTGTGGAACCTTTTGGCAACTATTTGACTCTTTTAACCAAAATCTTAATTTTTCATCAAAGCTTTTGTAAGCAAAAACCAAATATTTTTCTGTAAACAATCACAATTAAATGTTTTTATAATCAATGTTACCTTTTTTAGCAATTTCAATAAAATTTATCAGTGTCAGCTGAATTATCTGATGTTAATTTTTTTAGTTCAACTAAAGATTTGCATCTATTTGCTTGGCGCGGACTGTATTAGTTTATTTATTAGTGCTTTTTTTTCTTCTCTTTTGTCTATGTATTTTTTTGTTTATTATTTTCTTCTTTTTTTTCTTTTATTTATCTCAAATTCTTTATATGTTTTACTTAGAGTTTAACTATAAGAGTGACATCTTATTTATGAGAGTTTATAATAAACTATTGTAAATTTTTTATATTTTATGGTAAATAAATGCACATATTTTATTATGCCTAATAATATTATATTATTATTTTAGAATAAATCATAAAAAAAAGACATTTTCATAAAAATAATCATAAATGACTAATTTTTTTTTTACATGAGTATTATTACACACTAAAATGCAAATGTATGTGTATTATTCAAATAATTAGGAAGTTCAGGTCATTAGCTTTACCAACACATAGCTTGGTAATATAGTAACAAATGTATCTGTTAAATAAATCATTTGATTAGAAACAATGACTTAATTTGGTGTGATCTGAAGTTATTTAAATCAACAAATTATCAGTACCATGCATACATTTTTAAACAACCATTTGTTAAAAAAAAAAAAAAAGGAAAAAATTTTTGCCATAAACATTAAAAAATGCTTATGACATAATCCATGTTTTTTATTTTAGTTGCTAAACCCAAAAAAAACTTAGTACCTGCCATGTTTTTTGTTTCTTTTGCTTTTGATGAGTATACAACACCTATAAAATAGCTTTAATCTAGAATTTTTTAAAAAATAATTAAAATAAAATTGCATTAGTCAAATTGGATAGTTAAAATAAACAAAAATCATACATATGGGGGAATACATATTTTTAGTTATTTATAATTTTAACTATCTTATATTTTTGTAGTAGAAAAATTTACATTTAACCTATTGACCACTTTTTGTCTAACCTAAAATCATATCAGTTTCCATGGTAATTTTAAAAGAATAAAATATTTAAAAGAAAAAAACCCTAAAATGACTTCTTTTTTTTTTTAGTTAACACCCATGATTTGAACAAGTTTCCAATAATGACATTTTTCAATGTAAATAACATTATAGAAAAGTTAAAGCATTTCTATGATTGAATGCACTTCCAGTAAACAAAGATGCGGAGTTCCAAAAGATCTCTAGCTGTATATCTCTATTTTTTCAGGTCTGTTGTGTCCAGAAGCTTTAAACATGTTTGTTGACTTATGATCTGCAGTAAGAAAAAAATTCATGAGATTTAATGACTTGGAACTTATTGTTTTTAAGTCCTGGAGTCCTTGCCACCATTATACCCAAGGACTCCAAGTTCAAAAAATTATTGGCCCTCTTACCTAAAAGTATTAATTATTTTTCTATTATAAGTCAATAAACTTTTTTATATTTTTAGAGCTTCTGGATACCAAAAACTAGGAAGAAGTAATCTTTTTGTGACTTTTAAATCCGGAGTCCTTTTTGAGACTCCGCATATTTTAATAATATTCACATGTGGGGACATGTGAATATTATTAAAATACCACCACTATGAAAATTATTATAGTATTAAATAACAGGCTAACATAAACTGCAAAACTGTGCAATTTATTATTATATTTAGAAAACAAATGTACTATAGTGGATTAATTTGCATAAAATTACTTCAAATTGTTGTTATACTTGATTATAGTTGTTAAGCAACTAAGAGATTTTCAAGAAATTATGTACTAAGATTTTTAAGACATGTGCTAAAAATCAAATTTGCTAATCACTTATTTTTTATACCATATTATGATAAAAATATTTATTTTAGTATTAATATATCACTTATATTTTATACCATATTATGATAACAATATTTATTTTAGTATTAATATATGCTGCGACTATGACAGTTGATTCTCATGATGGTTTGACTCCAATCAATCCTTGTTTTAAATAAATTTACTGAAATAGTTTCTACAACATATAGTGCATTATAGTAGTTTGCATAATACAGTTGTATTGCATAATACAGTTGTATATTGTCTCATCAACATAATACATCTTAGTCCAAGTTGAAACAATAACAACTCTTTGTCTTCTAATCTCAAAACCAATAAAGTGCCAGCCATTAACACCATATGCTTTAGGTTTAAATACAAGCCTTTGATGTGGAAATGGTTTTGCAAATCAAATGCTTTTGCAAAAACAAGTAAAACTACATCAACAGGAAACTTGATCAACATTTCTTGTAATACAATCTAAAGTTTCTAATACAATCTAAGTAAATTTGTTGTATATGACAAAAACATCTTCATAAATGGATATCATTATGAAGATGTTTTTATCTTCATAATGAAAGAAGTTCAATTAAAAAGTTAAAGATTGATTATTGTTAAAAAATTTTGTTATGTCAAATAGAGTGCATTTTTGTATAGTCATAAATTGTTTTGAAAAATGGAGTGCACTTTTTTTTCTTTCTTTTTTTTTTTGTTGACAAAAATGTTTAGAAAATTTATATTTAGTTACCTCTTCTGGATTTTGAGTTGTTTCACAGCTTGGTTGTTGCAAAGCTTTTATAGAATCTTTTACATATTGTTATGAATTCATATATTTATATAAAATTTGAGGGTTCTTTTTAGCTTTATCTGCAATCCTTAATTCATACTTTTGTCTTGCTATAGAAATTTATGATGAACTTTACGCATGAGTTATTTATAGACACATTTGAGTTACATATTTTTTTAGTATAATTATATAACCTCATCATATTATTCTCGGACATTTTTGATTTGAAAATACCGAAGCCAATCAACACTTGTAAGAAAAAGTCGAATGATTAATGAGTAGTGAATATTAAATTTAAGATATTTACATCAGAATCATTTTTTGTTTGAAACGTTGGTAGGTTTACATGTGGATATAAGTAACTGTCATTTATTATTTGATTGAAATCATGCTCAATGCCTGATGATCCTTTAATTGAGTTTATAGAACAATTGGACTAACTTACCTGATAAACTTATCTGGTAAATTCAAACCATTAACTATAATTAGATTTTTGAAACTTTTTGATCAGCATATTCTCTTGCAATTTAAATCTCCATGACTGTCTTATCTGTGAAATCATAAGATCTATAAATGCATCCAATAAAATATTTATCATTTTCAAACTGGATAACAAGCCAGACATACTCCATTTGACTTAATTTAAATGCATTATTGTTAAGTTCATACAAAATAATTTTGTTGTCAATTTAAATACATACACCTTCACCTCGACAACAATTGCATCTTTTTTATATAAACAAAAATCCCAATTGCAAAGAGAAGTAGATTTGAACCATTTTTCAGTATTTGAATTCCAATTCATGTGTATTCCAGTATTTTTGTTTTCTTTTCAGCTACTTTGTCATTCAAACTTTATTGTATTCTGACACTCCAAAAACAATGATATTTTTAGCTTTCTTTTTATGTTTAATTCATTTATAGTAGAATTGACTTCTTAGTTGTTTTCTTGGTTTTTGAACTTGAACTTGAAAATTAAAACTTCTTAGTTTGTTTTCTTGGTTTTTGAACTTGAATCCAACTGATTAATTTAATCTACATTAACTACTTTATGTGACTCTAGCAGTTGCAAGAGCTCATACTTTTGTTTTTCATTCTGCTTTTTACTATTTATTTGATTAGAAAGCAATAAGAGAAACTGTAAAATTTTGCCATACATGCAATAATTCTTTTGAAGTTTTGAAATAATGCTTTTTGAAGTTGTTCAATGGTTTCCTTGTCCTAAGATTGGCCATTTTTTTCTGTAAAAAATTTTACTATACTATAAAATAACTATAAAACTATAACTATAAAACATTATACATTAACCTCATTCAATCAAAATTATAACTATAAACATTATACATTAACCTCATTCAATCAAAATTATAACTATAAAACATTATACATTAACCTCATTCAATCAAAATTATAACTATAAAACATTATACATTAACCTTATTCAATCAAAATTATAACTATAAAACATTATACATTAACCTCATTCAATCAAAATTATAACTATAAAACATTATACATTAACCTCAATGCATAATATTTACTGTAATTATAGTAAATGTTATTAATGTATACACAATGTAATATAATATAAATTTTGTTACATTTCATACAAACCATTAAATATTATACATTAACAAGATCAAAATTTTCCTACATCAAATCTTTCTCTAAGTTTTACAGTTTCACTTGTTTTTACTGTTTTACAGTTGACGCAATCAAAAACCAAACTTTTTACCATTGTTGACTTAGAAGTAACAAATAAAAGTATTCATAAATTATTATACCCGAATAGAAGTATTATTAAAGAAAAAAGAAATTTAAAATTTGAAACTAATTTTCATACGGAATATTTTGGCATTCCTTTATCTTTTTATTCCATTTTATGCAATAGTTTGCACTTTGGCCACATTTTAAGAATCCTCTACCACAGCTTAGCTGTTCGTGTTTGTGCAGATACAGAACGCACTTAAGCAACTCGCACTTAAAAAAATTTCTGTTTCAAAATTTCGCGCTTAAACGACTTAACACAGACATTTTAGTGCATTTTAATACGCTTTTTTAGACGTTTTATGTTTAGGTCAGGACGTTTTAGTCATACAATATTTGTGTTAGGATGTTTGGTTGTTACACCTTTTCAAGATGTAATTTAGAAGATGAAAGTTGTAATTGAGAAACTTAAGATGTAATTAAGAAGATGAAAGTTGTAATTGAAAAACGTATGATGTAATCAGTGGCGGATTAAGACTTCTTGGGGCCCGTGGCTATTTTTGTTTTTGGAGGCCTTTTTATGGGTCAGAGCTTAAAAATGAATAAATAAAAAAAAAAAAAAAGGTCCTCTAAAATTGTTTGGGGCCCCTAAATTTGCGGGAACAGGGTCTATAGCACCCCCTAGACCCCCCCCCCTCCTTGATCCGGCACAGGATGTAATTTAGAATATGAAAGTTGTAAATAAGAAATCGTAAGATGCAATTGTAAAACATAATAGTTGTAATTAAAAAGAATTTATAATATAGATTCTCAGAACAAAAATCTTCGTAGTTTAGTTTTGTTGCCTTTTTTTCAAAAAAGGTTACGATTTGTTTTATCCAACCTAACTATCTGATTATCATTTGTAGTGTGTTCGTTACTGTTTCAGTTCTTTATTGTTTGTTCTCATTACTATTCATTGTAGTAGGTTCCTTGTGCACTTTTTAAAAGGAAAATAGTCTGCTTTCAAGGTAAGTGGCGATTATTTTTGTGCTGACGCAATAATTAAATTGTCTTAATATCCATGTTTTAATGGCCACCGATGTCAACTGACAGTCACTTTTAACCCATGTTAGTGTTTCTTCGACTTGATCATCAGTTAATTTTTTCGGTTTAAAACCACCTCTTCCAGTCAAATTTGGATTTCCGCAGCGGAATAGATTGTATGCTGTCTTATATTTGAGACCTACCCAGCAAGCACAATCAACGTTAAAAAACCATTTAAATTTATGGTTGAAAAATGGTTGAAATGGAAACGCAAATCAATGTTGAAAAAAACACATTAGATCAAAGTTGAAAACAAACCAAAAATCAACGTTAGATTGACGTTGATTTAAAGATTATTCAACCAACTTATATACGAGTTTATAAACCTCAAAAATACAGCTTTTTTAGCCGTGGTTCTTTTAATCCGAAAAAACATTACTTGTACAATATTGCGTTGTTATGAGTAAGAAAAGAATCAGTATTCTTCATAAACTTATAATAGCTGTCATAGTAGAATCGGTGGCGGATTAAGACATCTTGGGGCCCGGGGCTATTTTTGTTTTTGGAAGTCTTTTTATGGGCCAGAGCCTCAAAATGACTTAAAAAAAAAATGTCCTCTAAAATTTTGGGGGAACCCTAAATTTGCGGGGCCCGGGGCTATAGCTCCATTAATCAAGCACTGAGTAGACCATCTTATGCTGTTGTATTGCACATCTTGTTCTCAATTTTTACAACTTTAAATCATTATTAATTTATTATTATATATTATTATTATTATTATTATTATTATTATTATTATATATTAATAATTTATTTTATATTATAATACTAACTGCTGTTATAGTATTACAAATAATCTGCCCTGTACCATTTTTTTAACGCAGATAACTAAATTATAAAAATTGAAAAACAATTATTGAAAGCAAATAAAACCAAAAAAATAATTTATACATTTTTAGAACAAAAACTTATACAAAATTAAAATTATTTTCAAAACGATCTTGATAAAATCATGATATCGTTATCTTCAACACCAATATTAAATTCATATGTATTTTTATCGCCTTCTGTCACCAAACTCATTATGATGCACATTTTCCACGATTCAATCAATATGGTGCAAACTACAGTCTAAGTTCTATCTTTGTGCATTTAAGAACATCAGGTAACTGCATCTAAATAAAAATAACTTTAAATTTAAATAAAGTTTGAAGATGGGTAACGGTGGCCAATTCTCAATGCAATAGCTATTGAGCAATAACAATAAAAAAGAGGGAAAAATATAATTATTTTTAATGGGTAGCACACCCTAGCGGAAATATTTCTTACGAAAAAAAAAGTACAACAGAAACGAATTACATTTTCAAAACCACCGTGCCTTGTTCTGTTATGAGCTAGATTTTAAAAATATTCTGTCGATATCTAAAAAAATTAAAGGGGGTTAAACAAGCTGGTCCAGAATATTTAGTGTTTAAGATAGATAACTTCCAGAAATGGTGCTTTCATAAAACTTTGTAATAATCATACTAATGCAAAATAAGAATGTTTTAGAAAAAATTGCGACAATCGGAGACTGGAAACAATATTAAACCTAAAATTTTGGTCCTTGTGTCCCATGTATGGTTTCAATAACAGATAAAAAAATTTTTCATAATACCTTTAACTAAATTAAAATTAATCGACAGATTTAAATTTTCATACAAAAACCTCTTCTCTTTAAAAAGTTATTATTGTTTTTAGGTTTTTATTCCCCAATTAACTCCAAAAAATAACTTTAAAAGATCACAACTTTTAAACGGCATATTTTTTTGGAATGATATTTAAAATTTGTCAATAAATTTTGATTCTAATAAATATGACAAAAAAAAAAAAATTCATAAACGTTTTAAGGACGTTACGTTAGGGCCGTATTCTTAGAGTTTAAATATGATTGGGCCCGATCACTGGGACACAAATAAAAAGAAGATTTTAGTTTTTTGTTTTAGTTTTTAGTGATATTTAACATTACAAGTTAATAATAACTGTTTCATATTTTACAAACTAACCTTTCACAATAAATTATATATAGAATTTTTTAAATATTCTTCTGTATGTTTTACCAAAGCGAGTTTATAAAATGTTACATGTTTTACTTTTACAAACTACTGTTTTAATTTGTATTACGTCAATTTAAATGACCCTCAAAATCATTCTTTATTGCTAAAATATTTGAAATTGGTTAATTAAAAACCACTTTTAGTTTTAACAAGTTTTGATTTTTATGCATTATTGTAATTTGTGTTTTGTTACACGTTGCGTTTGTAATATCGTTAGTTGTGCTTTGAAAATTTAAATATTAATTATTATTTCACCTTTGAAATGCCATATTCAAGGCTAAGTCACAGTCAAAGTAGGAGTAAAGTTTGTTTAATTTGCTTTGAAAAAGGAAAAAATTTAAGTAAAATACAAGAAGGAAGTGTAGTTTTATTGAGAATTAAAAAATATTTCATTGACAATATTAATTTAAATGATAACCGTTTTCCAAATGGAATTTGTGGAAGATGTCGAACTAGTTTAGTAAAAATGGAAAAAGGTAACACCAATATAGTTTTATGTAAACCATTTGATTTCTCTAAGATCAAAGAAACAATTCTAACTAGAAACCAACAGTTTTGCTAATGTGATATTTGCCTTAATGCTAGGTATAATTTAACACGTGGATCAAATATAGAAAAAAGAGGAAGGCCAAAACTCAACATGAAAGTTTTACCCTTTCCTGGACCAGTTAAAGTTTGTAAAAGATGTCTAAATGTTATTGGACCAGGATTAGCCCACACCTGTTGTATTACAAAGCGAAGGGAAAACCTAATGAAGCAACTAGATAAAGGTAAAAAAATATTAATTTCATAATTAAGTTCCTATTAAAACTAAATTATAATAATAATTCCAAAGTAATTACAAATTTTATATTGTAGATTTTTATTTAGACGATAGAGGTGCCGAATTGCAATGTTCAAAAACACTTAAACAATAGTTTGAAAAACGAGGCAATTTAATTAAGGTTGCAACATGCAGAACTTCAATTAGTATACAAAGACCAAAAACCTCTTCTAAAGCTTTGTTTACTGATTCACCGATACATACAAGTGAAGTGAACAAATTAAAAAATGCATGTGGTCTCAGTAACACACAATGTGCTAAAGTTTTAATTATTATTAGAAGTTGGAAAGGTCGCAAATCATTTGAAAAAAATACAAGAAATAAACTGATTGAAGAAGACGCCATTTTAAATGAATACTTTGACGTAAGATCTGTTAAATTTGATGAGGGTGAAAAGGTGATGGCTTATTGCAAAGATATTCTACTGGTGGAAAATGTTGTCAAAAAAAGAAATATTTCAAGTGAGTACATTTAAAAGTCGGCATTGATGGAGGAGCTGGATTTTTGAAAATTTGTTTAAATATCTTAGATCGTTGCGAGGTATCTAAAGAAAAGGTAAAAAAAAATTTAGTTATGACGAAGGCATATGTAAAGAAAAATACAAAGATGTTGGGGTTAACAAACTCATTATTATTGCACTTGTAGAAAATTTGCAAGAATCTCACGCAAATATGAAAAAAATAATCGATTTTATTAATTTAAACAGTATTAAATACTTTTGTGCTTTCGATATCAAATTGGTCAATATTTTTTTTGGAATAGAAAATGTAGCCTCAACTCATCTTTGCCCTTGGTGTATAGCTAGCAAAAATGATTTTCAAAATTTTGAATTTTAAGGTGAACATAGAACGCTTGGAATGATTAGATCATCAGCTAATAATTACAAAAATCCTTGCAGAAATAAAATTAAAAAATCAAAGTTATCTGCAGTACCCTATCATAACTGTGTAGACCAACCACTTATTGATTTACCAGGTGAAACAAAGGTTATAAAACTTCTTGCTCCGATGGAGCTACACCTTCTCAGTGGAAACACCAACAAGCTTTTTAATTACCTTGATTCATATATAAGATCTAAAGAATTTTGTTTTAAAGCAGAGAAGTGGAATGAAAAACTGGGGTTTAAAAGACCAAGGCTTCATGGTGGGCAATTTAAGGGAGGACAGAGTTCAAAACTTCTTGATAATATAGATCTTTTTTTTTATATCTTTTTCACTAGATAATGATGAACAACTTTCTTTCATACTACAGGCATTTAAATGCTTAAGAGAAGTTAAAGTTAGTTGTTTAGCGATGACTTTAGAACCCGACTACGAAATAAAAGTAAAAGATTATCAAAAAGC